AAGCAAACTCGCTTACTCAGTTTTCTATGAACGTAACAGTTTATAAATAGTTGTATAATTGTATTTCTGTAGACCGTTGCTTGTTTGAGCTGCTTATAAAAAACACTTGTGAGGACAATTTTTTTTTTGATTCTTTGGTAATAAAATTTCCTCCAATTTTATTTTGTTTGTCATAATAGTATTAAATTGTATATTAATATGATTTATTTTATTCAACCAGCATATTATTTATTTATGACCAATAAAGTGTAATGCGTACCCTTCTGGTCTTTTTCAATTAATCTGACTGCTCAAAAATACGTCCACACCATAGAAAGAATTGTTGAGCAACCTTGGTGGGCAATTTAAGAGGTGCAGCGTCCCATGCGGACTGGTATCAATAGTCGGGCAAATGTTATGCTTTTTTAGTTTTGTTCATCAAGGCAATTGCATTGCTTTGGCGGGGAATTCGAACCCATAAGGGGTATTTGCATTGTTACATATCCAGCAGGTATGAATGACATCGATAATATCGTGTTGAAATTCCACACTGATAAGGTTTTATGCTGTTAATGTAGTTATTCTATTGAGGCCATGGACAGCCAGCCACTCTTTCGAATTTTAGAGTTCAACTGCTCCCCATATTAGGTTTTTGTTAGTGGTCGACCTATATATTCAAATGAAGCAAGAAGCATTCCGATCAAAACATTCACATATCGTCGTTGTCATGCTTTGGCGCTCTATAAGTCATTGCGGATTTCAATGTTTAAAAAAACCTGACTTGTTTCAAATCTTCATTTTTCGTCCAATTGCAAAATAACATGTATTGCATGGAACAATTGAATTAAATTTTCCTGCTCTTTTGATATTGAAAATTCTCAATTTCAAAATGAAAAGTACTATGCATTTTTATATTTTTGATAGAAGAAAAATTTCGAAAACAATGCATAACATTTGCCTTTTATTTCGACATACAATTATCCATGCTTAACATTTTATATTCCTAAACAAATCTTATAATATCCAAAAATTACTACAAATAGATCGTCTTTTGGTGAATATCACTAAAAGTAGAAAACTTTTGAGATATCTCATAGAATCGAGAATTAGCGTATGAAACACTAAATTATGTCAACGCCGATATGTCCTTTTTGTCGAAAGATCAAAACATATGATGATGACCAACAGAAAATATGTATTAACGATATTTTCTTTGCAAATATTTGGTTAAAAATAAGTCTCTGTAGTTTTGCATGAAATCAGCTACTGGCGCCAATAAAGCTAAAAAATAAAAGCGCTCTGTACCTATCCAATAAACAAGTAGTTGGTTTTTATCCCATCCAGACGGCCAGCATCATTTTTCACATCTCCTTTACGCTCTCCATACATAATATATGGCTGGCTGCTGATGTCACACAACATGAACTTTGCTAGACTTTTTCCGTAACATAGTTACGTAGCCTTCTCATACATGTATGGAAACCATCCATGTGCTCATCATTTATAGAAATACATAAGAAAGAATTTTCTTGTTTTTATTAATTGTGTTGTTCGCGGGTCACCATGATATTTCATTTAATTGTCGTGCAACAGAGTACTTGTAAAGGGAATACATTTTATAATTTCTAACCTAAATGAAAAATTCGTTTCATTAAATATTTTGTCATGTTAAAAGGTCGTTTGTGTGCCTTGGTGGTATATATGGATATTTAGCTTCAGTTTGTCATATGTATATGTAATAGTTTTAAGTTAGTTAATTTAATTAAAAGAATTGCAAGTAATGACCACAATACATGCCTCCAATGAGACTTAAAATTAAAGCCCATGTGTATGCGTGTAAACATGCGAATAATTTGTAACGTGTGATGATATAAACACACATACAATACAAGGTGAGATAAAAAAACTGCAACAGTCACACGCCATAATTTTAACATTTTTTTTTTAAATTTTTTTGAATGAAAGCAAACAATGCCGGAAAAGCATCAAATTTTAGAATAAGTTTGGTTACCTTTGGCACGAATTATGGCCTTCAAACGGCCAATGAAACCGCTGCCCGAATGTTGCTCTGCGGTATTTTGGCCCATTCCCGGTGAAATATTTGCTTGAGGTTATCTATATTTTGGCTGGAAATGAAGCGAGGAACCTCGTTTTGTAACCATTCTTGGGTGGCGCGTTCTGAGTGCGATGGTGCTGAGTCCTGTTGGAATGTCCAAGGTCTGCGGCCAAAATTTTTATTTTTGCGTTAAAATTCAGCATGTTCAGTGTATGTTGTTAAACTTTTCGGAATTTCAATGGTTTTACCCCGAGCTCATTTTCAATATTTGCCGAATGGAATATTGCGATATGTTCAGCTCACGAGCTATTTTTCGGCTGTTTTCTTCTTCCTTTCTAACGATAGCCACTTTTGGTTTTCCAGCCAAATATAAAGAAATCACACTATCGCGCTTGAATTCCATCACGAATAAATTTTTCTCTGAAAAATTCTCACCAAAATGCTTTTGTACCTTTGCAAACAATATAATGAGCTGTCACTGGAATGATTTTAACAGCTGTCAGGCGAGTGACATAGAAATTACAGCAGTCTTAAGTTGGTTGCAACCTTTTCACCTCACCCTGTATTTTAATTATTTATTTATTTCCATTAATAATTTCCAATTACTGATAAGTAATATTCTTATGAACTGAGCTTTTCGCGACCTTAAAATGGGACACATTGATGTCTGCGAAAGTGTATTGCTGTGAATACAAATTGGTGCAATCAATAATTAACACCTACCAAACAAAAGTACGTTGTATCCGCACCTTTATTTAATTTAACAGGTTGCTGTTAACAAGAAACAATTTCCTTGTAAAAAATCTGGCAGCTGCAGCTATTTCCAGAGAGATGATCTCATATGTTTACTTTTCCACATATATTTTTTGTTTTGTTGTTGAGACTTAAAAAAACAACAAGAACAACAATAACACATGAATGAGATAAATTTTTTTATTCAGTTCACAAAAGTTCGTTGCAGTGGCCGATTGTTTTATACAATCAACAAAATATGTATTCATTCATTTATATATGCATGCAAATGTTTTAAATGAAAATAACAACAAAATTGCTGTAGATGTAGAGTACATTGAATGATCTTCTCGTGGCCATATTTTGTTTGATACAGCGAAAATTCTCAATATTCGTGAGATAGTTATGTTTGGAGGCATTTTCTAAAGACACTTACAGGGTGAGATAAAAAAACTGCAACAAAGTCAAACGCCATAATATGCAAAATATGTCGGCAATAGCATCAAATTTTAGAATAAGTTTAGATTTGTACGAATTGGTCACCTTTGGCACGAAATGAGGCATTCAAACGGCCAATGAAACCGTCACACGCTGCCCGAATCTTGTTTTGAACATGGTAAAACTAAGAAAGTAAAGTCATGTAATCATATGTTTTATACATTTGACAACATCTCATTGTGGAAATCTATATTCATAAATCCATTGTATACACACAAAATCAGAGATGGGAACTGTTTTTTAGGCATTGAAATTTGACAAAGAAATTACAGAAAATGCAGAGCTGGGAATGCTAATTTGACATGAGGTTACCTTTCCTTCATTGTACCATGGTTTTGAAAAAAAGAAAATAATTAAAAAATATTTCAAATTTTGGAACAACAGAAATGCATATTTTCCACGTCAACGGGCCACAATTGTATAATTGTGGAATAAAACAAACTTGTTCTACTATCTTGGATTTAATTTTGTGGAGAAACCCCGATATTCCATTCATGTTTTGTGGGTTTTCAAGAATATAATATTTTTGGGGAAAAATGTTAAATAAACAGAACCAATTGTTGCATGTTGAAAAGTCTATTTGACATAAAAAGACTCCAGTACAGAGTTATATTTTCCTAGTTTCCTTGAAGTTGAGCAACTTTTTTTTTATTGATCCATGCAAGGAACCAGACTAGCTGTCTATAAATGACTAACGCAGTTCCAACAACAACAAATTGGTGGGATTTTGGTTACAACATTTTATTGAAATCTGGATATGAAGTTTTAATTCGAATAGCCTAATTTGTAAGCCTAAGAAGTTTGGTTTGGATTAGCCAAAAAAATTGGCGTAAAACTTACGATAAGCCTAACAGTACGTTTATATATATGAGGGTTAACCCACTGGATTTGGATTTAAATTGTCATTTCCATTACTTTTACTTCAAATAAATCCTCTCAAAGTAGGTTAACCCTACAAAAAGTTCTAATGTAAACATGATATAAGATTCTATGTGAGCTTATTTAAATACTATTTTTAATAGAAATATTATTAGCTAAATAAAAGGTTAATATAAAATATTTTAATGCGTAACAGTACGTTTACATATGTATAAAAGAGTTGACCCACTGGATTTGAATTACAGTTGTAAAATCCATTACTCATACTTCAAATAAATCCTCTTAACGTAGGTTAATCCTGCAAAAACTTCTAACGTAAACATGGCATAAGGGCCTTTAAATGCGTAATTTAGGTAATCACTGATGTGTAGTACGTATACTAACGCACGTATTAAAAAATATTTCATATTTGCACATTCGATTGCCATAACATAGCTACGATCATGACAATTGCATAAGTTTCCCGGCAGATTGGGCATGTGGAGGTAACCTCAGTCGTTATCGGAATACATAATTAGTAAATCTGTGCACACATTAGAAATTCCACAGCAACACAGACTTTTAACCATAAATTCCACTCACGGTTGGCTGATAATAGAAAATTTTGCATGATATGAATGACATTTTGATCGTATTTGGAATAATGACCCTTGCAACAAAACGTACAATAATAACCTTTTGCAGAATGGAAATTCCACTTATTATGTTTTCACGTATCCATTAGATATTCCCATTCTGTCCATATTTTACCGAAGAAAATTCACTGGTGTCCCAAAATTTGAGCTTTTAAGTTTCCTTTATATTACTCTGTAACATCCTATTTAGCATTAAACACCCCCTTTCTTCTTGTTTACAGATTCTTGGCATTTTGGTGATTGTATTTGGCGTCTTGATTTTGAATAGCATTGGCATGATAGAGGTTGATGGCCAAACCGGATTCCCACCTCAGGCTGCCATGCCAATTGGTATGATTACCATTGGTTCTATTGTGGTATTCATTTCATTTTTGGGCTGCTGCGGTGCCATTCGTGAAGATGTCTGCATGACAATGTGCTATGCTGTACTGATGCTGATATTGCTTATCATCCAATTGATCGTTGTAGTTCTGCTGTGGACCAACCAAGACAAAATTGAAACCGCCATGGATAATGTTATCGAAAGTGCATGGCAGTCGGAAGTTCGTGAAGCAGGTGTATTCGAAGTTGTACAAAAATCGGTAAGTAATGTGAGCTGGCAAAATGATAAATGAAATATTAATGGTTTCGTTATATATGCAGCTCAAATGTTGCGGTGTCAACAGTGCCGCTGATTATGCTCTTAATGGCCGTATTCCACCAAAATCATGCTGCCCTGCAGATGAGACCTGCATCGTTATCAACTACTATCCTGGCTGCAAAAAGGAAGCCCGCAAATTCATAACAGGCAGTTCCGAAAAAGCCAAATACTTTGGCCTGGGCTTAATTGTTGTTGAGGTAAGTTAACTGTTTGCAGGGGGTAATATTAAAAGGAGCAGAACATGGATATAAAAAATTATGTTTCTATGTTTTGTTTCACGTCCGTTAATCTGGATCAGTTTTATGTCCTTTTCACATTTCCTTAAATACTTTGATGTAAGGTATTATGCGTTGACATAACACGTATGTGCAGGACATTCTATATGACAATATGGACTGGAGTAGAGTAGGTTAATTTAGCAATTTTGTCTTCAATTAATTCAATGCAATAGCAAATTCAATTTCGGAGAACATTACTCGATACTTAGTTTCAATTCCATTTCAAAAAAAGTTGGTTTTTTTAAGGGAGCGTAGAAAATCGCTTTTCATTCAAGCAAACTTAGCATGTCTGAATAGACATTGGAAATGTTAGTATATTGGCAATTTGGAATCTTTATAACTATGCTCATTGCAATAGTTGTTTAATAGATATAGAACAATTATATAAAAGTGTTTACCACGATAAGCGATTTTCGACTACATAAAGTTTATGAAACTTCAATAAAAAAAAAAACAATTAAGACTCATTTGAGACATACGCCCACACCAAAGCAAATGATTCCTTTATGAACCCGGCAGTCATTTATTTATAAAATAAGAATTGAGTTGATGATTTGTACCCCCCGCCGAACTATTTGCTTCAATCAATCATACTTACATGTGTAATTAACCCGCATTTCTTTTTTTATTTTTCCAGCTCGTTGGTTTCATATTTGCTTGCTGTCTGGCTAATAATGTACGCAACAGTAAGCGACGAAACGCTTACTAATTTGGAAAGCAATGAAGGTCAACTAATTCTAATACCAACATTGCCCCCCAAAAACAACATGCAACAAGAAACAAAGTTTTTCCTCAAGTAATTTTTTACGCACACAATGGATTTTCCACAGAAATAAGAGATATATAGATTGTTACGTTATATACATACCGGCATACCTGTAAACAAACCAATAGAATACAAAAAGAAAAATCGAAAACTACCAAAATTACACATATATACAAACAAAAACACAAATACACACTTATATACCACATTAATTGATATATGTAGATACAAATGTATATCAGTGAATCTCCTATGTTATTTTTTGTAATAGATTTACAGAGAACCATTTACACATACGTTGAATATATAACGGAAGAGGATGTATTACCAATCCATGAATTAATTATTCTTTATTATCTGCTGTATATTAAATATTGTTTTATAATTAGTATTTATGCAAAGAACGAAAACAAAGAAGAAGTATACAATGAATTTCTTTACTTTATTAAACACGTATATGTACATATTTACATGTATTGATAGAACACATCTTTTGTATGTTTGTATTCCATTTGTATTTTTTTGTATGTACGCCAAAATCTCCCTCCAATCTCAAATGGCTTATATTAAAATTCACAAAATAAAATTCATGTTATTTTCTCTATTAAACCTTTTCTATTTGTATCCCTTTTCTGTCATTGTATTTTTTAAGAAATCTCAACATTTTTATACCAACACTTAACATCTTAATGAATTAAATGATGAAATAATAATCTCGAAGCACAATAAACATAAAAGGGAAATACAATTATTTAAAAGATCGTTTCATTCCTACATTTGTTCTGTTTTTATTATTCATAAAGTAGAACAATCAATGTCGTATGTCGGACAGAAATGTATACGTATTGAAACATTTCCACTTTGTATATGAAATTACTAATGTTTGTTACAAATTCAGTAGTTTTTACCATAAACGGAATTCTGTAAGAACGACAGAATTCGCACATAACTTATCCTAGAAAACTGATATGTCTTTAGGTTTGAGTGATAAACTGATATAATGAAAATCATGGTACAATGAATACAAAGTAGGCTATTTTTAAAATTGAATGGTTTATTCAACGTAACCTCATTTCCAACAATAATAACCATTTGAATAAATTGTTTTATTTAAAAAAAAAAAAAATAAAAAAAAATATTCCTGTTACAATTACTCTGTTCCAGAACCTGCAATAGTCTTGCAATTTTCTTCGATATCATAAAGGGAAAGTCGAACATAATAGTAAAAACTTTTACATTCTTGCAGTTCTGGAACAGACCAAATAACAAAAGAAATATTAACGACTTTTCAATCGGTAACAATTACCGGGTAGGATTCTATAGCTCTACGACTCTATATATTATCATTTCTACAAAAATTTGCAATAAAATCAAAATTCCATATTCGAATTAATTTCTATTAATTTTTTGCATTTTCTGTAATTTACCAGTCAATTTGAACTTAATTACAAACATGTTCCTTCCCATCGCTGATACACTGCTGCTCTGTTCCAAAACCTGCACGAATCTACTAGTTTTGCAATTTTTTTTTTTCGATATCATGGAGGGAAAATCGGTTATCGTAGTTAAAAGTTTTACCTTCTTGTTCAGTTCTGGAACAGACTATGTATTGCTATGCGAAAGGTAAATGCGTTTAGAGTACAATTTGGCACTCGGTATCACAAACGCAAAGGATTTCGCGGAAATGGGGCAACACGGCCACAAAGAAGTAAATAAAAGTAAAGCCAAAACTACTAAGTTTATTGGCAAATTGTTGTCAAGAGTAGTCGATTTGGCCGACCTTTAGGTGAAAGTACATAAAAGGCTTTTTTGACTGGCTTAAATCATCGGCCTAAGTCATTCTCCGAAGATGACTTAAGCCAGTCAAAAAAAAATCTATATACCTGGCAGTTGATATTTTTAACATTTTTGAGTGACTTCAACATTTTTACTCATTCCCATGGGCGACTTCTGCTGATTCGATCGAAGACAAACGGTGAGAGCATTCCTTCGTCAGACGTAGTTTTACACCTATTATTCATTTGACAGCAGCATATTGTCCAACCACTTATTGATTAGACTTGGTTCGGTCCACGGTTTGATTTTTCAAATAGTTTTTAGGCTGTTCGAATCATGGTTTAGTTACGGTTCAGTGTTAGTTGTAAACAGACCGCCGAAAAAATCGTTCGAATCCGAGTAAAGAGCACTCTTTTAGAATTTTTCTTATACCGTCGTTGTATTTCTATGCATATGTATTTCCTCAAAGCACAGCAGCAAAAGAAACAAAACTAAACTACAGACTTAAACAGAAATAAGTAAAAACATATTAAGTTCGGCCGGGCCGAACTTTTAATACCCCCCACCTTACCCTAAGGTGCATTTAGAAAACATTTTTATATAAAAGTATCTGAATTCAAGTGTGTTTCACTTTAAACTTCATATACCAGTAAGACCTTTTGTATAATGCTGTTAAACTTATGAAATAACCATAAAGTGAGTGAGGCCGTTATATGTGGCCATACAAAAATGGGAACCTCTATAAACAATTTTATACTTCAAGGATTGTCATTTATCAAATCTACCAACTTGAAACAATTATGTAGGTAAATGTGACTAGGATTATCAAAATAACGAATATCGGTGGTTATCGTTACATGTGCGTAAGAGGAAAACTGGGAACTAAATATTCAATGTTCTGCTACTGGGCTAGAACCCATTATGACCTACAAATACCAGTTTCTGGACAAATTCGTTAAAAAATGTGGCAAAAATCATCAAAATACTAAATATCGGGAGGTACCGTTATATGGGGACTATACCAAAACGTGCATCTATGCATACAATGTTTCGCCACACAAGCTAGAAGCTACAAGACCTACAAATACCAATTTTTAGACAAATCCGTGGTAAAATGTGGCAAAAATCAACAAAATACCGAAAGTTCCGTCAAATAGGGACTATACCAAAACGTTGACCGATATATCTCATTTTCAATATCAACTATCCTAGGTACAATACAAATTGTTCTGCTAAAATAATGTGGGCTGTATCGTGATTTCAACAGACAAACAGACGGACATCGTTAAATTTACTTAGAATTTTATGCTGATTTTGAATATATATACTTTATGGGGTCTACGATGAATATTTAGGAATGTTACAAACGGAATGACAAAGTTAATATACCCTACCTTCCAAGGTGGAGGGTATAAAAATACACATACATAGAAATAGAAAGGAACGGAATGACAAAAACTAAAAAAGTGCACGGCAAGAGTGGACTCTGCTCGATTTTGAACGGACTTTGCTACCACTCAAAAACGAAGAAAGTATGCTTATTCCTATTCGAGCGCTCTCGTTCGAGTTCGAGTGAGTTTTGCTCTTTCAACAAGTTCGAGTGAGTTTTTCGGATGTCTGCAACATGACTCTTAGAGAAAATACTATATTTCGAGCGATTCGGCTCCCACAGAATTGAAACGGAATCGCTCATACACAAAAGAAGAGTGTGTAATGAGCAATTCCGCTCGAGAGAAATGTTCACTCCCAAGTGTCAGCGAGCAAATCTTAGCTCTGATTGTAAATCAATACATATCCAGTCAAAACTCAGCTTTCAAGGAATTTCAATATTCAGGTTGAGATAAAAAAAAAAACAACGGCAACCAACTTCAGACTGCTGCCATTTTTAAGCCACTCATCCGAAAGCTGTTAAAATTATTCCAGTGACAGCTCATTATATTGTTTTGTGTCTCGTACCATCGCTCGTTATCGTGATACCGGTAGCGTAGCCCGACGTCAAGAAAGTGGACGGAAGAAAACAGCAACATCAGCAGAAATGGTTCGAAAAGTAAAGAAGCGACTTGATCGAAACCCGAAAAATGGCCACTCAGCTGAACATATCGTAATATTCCATTCGGAAAAGCCATTGAAATTCCAAAAAGTGCAAGAATTTACACCGCAACAGAAAGAAAATAGACTAAAAAAAGAGCTAAAGAGTTGCTTCTCCGATGAGAAAACATTCGTCACAGTTGTCCAGCAGTTTGTAAACAAACAAATGATCGTGTTTACTTGCCAAAGAGGTCAGATGAAAATGTGCACCTTCGGTTGGCCACCAGAACTCAAGTGCCGGCCATGGTGATGGTGTGGGCCGCCATAACAGCGGATGGTCGCTCTCCGCTCGTATTAATCGACAGTGGCATCAGAATAAATGGCAGACCTTGGACATTCTCAGGACTCAGCACCATCGCACTCAGCACGCGCCACCCAAGAATGGTTACAAAACGAGGTTCCTCGCTTCATTTCCAGCGTACAATGGCCACCAAAATCTCCGGATACCTATTCGTTGGACTATTGTGTCTGGAGTATTTTGAAAAACAAGGTTGGCACTAAAAATTACCAATACCGATCACCTCAAGCAAGCGCTTCGCCGGGAATGGGCCAAAATACCGCAGAGAAACATTCGTTTGAAGGTCATAATTCGTGTTAAAGGTGACTAATTCGAACAAAAATATACTTATTGTAAAATTCGATGCTCTTTCCGACATTTTCCGACAGTTTTTTTTATCTCACCCTGTATTTATAGCAAAAATATTTTTTAATTAAATGATTTTAATAGTTTGTGTTACGGAACTAATAAAAAAGGAATAAAGCGTCGTTTACATTACGACACAAAATCATAATTTTGGTGGCACAACTTTTTGAACTGATCTGCACAATGTTGTTATTTGAAACATGTTTTTTTAGACAATGGTGTGGTTCATGCACCGTTTACAAATCTATTGCATATACCCAAATCAGAGGTGGGCCCTGTTTTCTATGCAGTGGAATTTGACAGGATAAATTACAGAAAATGCAGAGATGGATATCCTTGCTTGAAAAGACTTTATAATCTTATGCATTGTTCCCGAGCCTGCAAGTTTATTTTTATACCCTACAACACTATGTGTTGGGGGTATTATAAGTTTGATTGGGCCAAAAATTATGTAACACCACGAAATATTGATTTCCCACATAGGAAAGTATATATGGATCTTCCTAGCTCGCCGAGTTGAGTCGATCTAGCTATGTATGTCCGTCCGTCCGTCTGTCCGTCTGTCCGTCTGTCCATGTTAATTTGTAATCACTCTACAGGTCGCAATTATGGCCCGATCTTCACGAAATTTAGAATGGAGGTGGGGCTAGGTTCAGAATAGAACCCTATTTCTTTTGGAGATGATCGCCAAATGTTTAGGGGTTGAAATGGACCAAATACTGAAAAAATGTCGGATTTTGCAGTAGCTATACAGGTCGCAATTATAGACCAATCGACGCGGAATTTCACATGCAGCTAGAGTTTAGGGCGGGGAAGAAGCCTACCAATTTGGGTGGTCATCGAATAATATTTAGCGGGTAAAATAGGCCATATCTTTTTTGTTGAAAAAATTTTTTTTTTTCATAAAACCGCGAATATTTGAAATCCCGGCGAAATCACAAAGCCATGACAAGGTTACTTCTGATCTTTACATTCATGTTAACATCCAACAAATCGGATATATAGCAAAATATGTGCTATATATATGTCTATCAAAGAAGATATGCTTGAAAGATCTCTTATATGTCGAGAACTGCTGAACTGATTTCAACAGTTCTCATAAATTCAGAATGGCCTCTTGGCAGGAAAGAAAAAACGTCTAAAAAAATCGCATAAAAATATCTCTCTAATGATGAAAATATTGATTTTGTAAAATTTTCTCATATTTTCTTCAATTTTGTCATATTTTTGGCATATTTTCA